AGGAACAAAGATACATCAGGCTGTTTTAGAGCATAGCTTGATTGTGAAAAATTTCCAAGAGAAGAACATCACAAACACTTTCAAAATATTATCATGTTGTAATTTCATATTAAATCTACACAAGAAGCATATTCTTGATTAAAACTTCTGGGCCTTGCTGTGAATGACAACCTTTAGCTTTAGATCATAGTGAGTATATTTTTTTCTTGATATGTGTAGAAATGAAAGGGATAGTTTTATTCTGCTTTAGACAGAAATATTTCACACAAATTATTCTATACTGTCACAATTTAATATCTGTGTTTGGACAAGAATATTACTATCTTGGGAAAATGCATATAGATCATCAGAAATATTAGACTCATATCCCCAAACCACATTTCTAATTCTAGGCACTATTTCTATACAACATGGGATGAGAAGGATGGGTGGCCCAGTGTCTCATGAGTTTATATAAAGGTCATCCTGATGTACCCCTACAAAATGAGAAATTTATCAGGACATTTCTAAAATTAAGTATGCCCCAAATCATACTAAATATTTGGTCAAAATCTATACTATTATGCAATTCAGTTCTTCAATTATTAGTATACAACTTTGTCAGATGTCCCATTATGTGTTCTGTAAATTTGTCTTCATAGTATAGTCATTATAGTATCACATAAGATCACTCTGTTTTTGAGAAATAAAAGAAGCTCCTAAGGCTGAAAAGTTTATGAATTCCCATTTTCTTGTTTCATCCATTCTGTTTATTCTCATAATATTCCTTTTTGGATGAATTATTCTGAACTCACTCATTTGGAATCATGTATTTTGCTATTCCAGACTGCCAAAATACAAGGAAACCTATAAGTTAAAAATATGGATTTAGGAGGCAGAACAAACCAGCCAGTGGTCAGATGAGTGCCAGGGTATCTTCTAGCCCACCTCTCCCTCTTTGAGTTCCTGGACCTGTGGCCACCAGACCCTTCCTGTAACCTAATCCTCCCGAAGGACTTGGAGGCAGTACAAAGCAGCCAGTATCATAGTCTGCCATTCCAGCCTTGTACCATCTGGGAGAGAGGAGAGGATAGAGGCTTGAACCCATACCTACTAGGAGAGGGAAAGACCCCATCAATACACACTGAAAGAAGAGATGGGAAGACGACAATATAGAAACACATTCAACAAGAGAAACACTTATATGACACCCCCAGAGTCTTAGGACTGTACAGTATCAAGACCTGAACATCACAATGTAGATGAAACAGAAGAGAATGACCTTAAAAACAGCATCATGAAAATGATATAGGCCCTCAAAGAGGATATGATAAAAATCCCTTAAAGAAATGGAAGAAAAAAACAAAAAATTGCAAGAAATCAATGTATCTCTTTTTTCTCAATATATGTTTTTATTTAAAATAGAAACATGCATGCTTCACATGTCAGTCCCAGCACCGTCTCCCACCCCTCATCCTTTGTCCCTCTATCAGGCATCCCCAGCACCACACCCAATCCCCATATCATTCCCCAGGGAAGGTGAGTCCCTAATTGGGGGTAACTCCAGAATCTGTCATTTCATCCAGGGCAGGACCTAGACCATTTGCCATGTATCCAGGCTGAGAGTGCATCCCTCCATGTGGAATAGGCTCCTAAAGTTCATTCCTACGCCATGGTAAACACTGATCTACTACCCAAAGCCCCAGAGATTTCTGTGGCCTCCTCACTGATACTACATTTGTGGAGTCTGGATCAGTCCCCTGTTGGTCTCTAAGCCATCAGTCTGGGGTTCAAGAGTTCCCCCTTATCCTGTCAGCTGTCTTTGTGGGTTTTACCAGTATGGTCTGGACTCCTTTGCTCATCACTCCTCCATCTGGTTTCCAGGAGTTCAGTTAAGTGTTTACCTGTGGGTATCTGTCTCTGCTTCCATCAGTTACTGGATGAAGGATCTAGGATGGCATATAAATTAGTTATCAACCTTATCATCAGGGAGAGCTATTAATGTAGTCTCTCCACTTTTGCTTAGTTTGCCATTTAGTGTTATCCTTGTAGATCTCTGGAAATCTCATCAAATATCAGTTCTTAGCATAAACTACATAATTTTGAATAGTATGTTTTTGAAAAGCTAATTTTGATGTCTTATTACCTCTACATAAAATCTAGAAATTTTCATAGTGTTTAAATTGTATGCTTTAATAACTCCCTTTAATAGAATTGTTTCATATAACTTTATACATGATCTAGAAACTCCATTGTCCCAATTTATCCCTCCCCCATATTTTTGCAACCTTACTATCATATATTCTGCTTTTGTACAAGCTATAAATACCACAGTGCATTTTATTAGTTTTTGCATGCATTCATTTTTGGACCATTTGGAATATTTCAAAATATCTTCATTTTTAGCCATTTCTAGATTCTTCTGCAGAGTCAGGTGCTTGTCTCATAATATATTCCCTCCACCTGAAGAAATTTAACACTGAAAATCTTTTGAATGATTATTTCATTTTCATTTCTGAAGGATGTTTTTGCTGACAGTTAATCCTTTTCCATATTAAAAGTGTTACCTCTTATCATCCATCTCCTTCTTACCTATGGGGATAATGTAGCTTTCTGATACACCCCAACACAAGACTTTTTTCCAGTTAAGTTTGTGAAATTGACCTGGCAACAATTCCTTTACTGAATCAGTGACTCTCTGTTGTGCTGTCAGACATCAGGCCACTGCTAGCCTCCAGCCCTATACCACCTCTCAGACTGTGGTGTGGGTTTGAGATGTAGTTCTTCCCAATAGATATATACTCCTTTTATACATACATACATAATACATACATACATACATACATACAAATATATACTTATGTATATACATGTACATGTGTATATTCCCAGTTTATCTAATCTCACTTTCTAGAAATTTTATTGAAATGTAAAAAATGTAAAAGAGAAGACAGATCCCACTGAGTAGTCTTCAGTTGTTTCTACCATGATTTTCTTCTATCCTGATGCAGGTATACCAGGTAGCTTTTCCTTAATGGGCTTAATATTGCAGGATACTTGGATGTCCTCTGAAAGCATCCCTCAGATTGCTCTTAGGCTCTTCCTTCTTAAATTTGGAGTTATGTTATTTCTACTGTGGTATATGCCAGCAGGAAGAGCCTCCGAATCAGCATATTCCTTCTCATGATCCATACAAACAATTCCCAGTGTGTCCCTCTGGATGCTTCATCCTTTCCTCAGCTCATATACATTGCTTTCACATCTGTGCTTTATTGTGTCTATAGCTAACCATTTTATGTGTGTTGATAATTTTATGTTAACTCAAATACAGCTTGAAGTTTGTGCCCTACTTTATATTGCATTTAAAACATATTTTTAAATTTTTTACTAAGCACTTGTATTGATTCTGTTACCTTCACTAATTTATATGTAGTCAATTTCACAAATTGTAGTGTTTGAAATTTTTCTTATTTTTATTTAACTTTTTAAGCATGTCACTCTCAGTTTCCTCTCCCTGTCATCCTCCCCCTCCCCCAACCCTCCCAACCCCTCACCCCCACTCTATCCCCCCCTCTGCTCCCCAGGGGGGGGCAAGTGCTTCCATGAGGGATTTTCATAGTCTGTCACATCATCCCGGGCAGGGTCTAGGTCCTCCTCCATATGTCTAGGCTGAAAGATTTTAGACATGGAGCAGAGCATTGCCGGCCTAAAATCCCACTGCCAGAGAGTCTGGGGTACAGGGAAGACCCTAAGAGAGATATGCATGGTAATCCAGAGAAGGGCTATAGGACAAGATCTCCTAATTGGATTGCAAGGGGAACAAGGGGAGAGCAAAAGGAGATGGGAGAAAGAGAGAAGCAAAAGAGGAGGGGAGAGGAGGACATGGGAGAGCAGGAAGGTTGAGTGAGGGTAAGAATAGAGGAGAGAAAGATGGAAGATTCTATAAAAGAGGGAGCCATTATAAGTTGGAGCAGACATCTAGCACTAGCGAAATCTTCACAGATCTACAAGAATGACACCAACTAAGCCTACCTTAAATGCTCTCCCATGATAATGATGACTACCTTATATGCCATCCTAGAACTTTCATCCATTGGCTGATGGAGGCAGAGGCAGACACCCACAGCTGGGAACCAAATTGAACTCCTGGAACCCAGTTGCAAAGATGAATGATGACCAAAGAAATCAAGATGATGCTGGCAAAAGCCACATAGGCAGTTGACCTAAACAAGGGGGAACACGTCGACTCCAGACTGATGACTGAGGGGCCAGCATGGGACTGATCCAGACATTGAACCTGGGTATCAGAGAGGAGGCCTAAGCAATCTGTGGGACCTTGGAGAGTAAAGCAGTATTTATTCCTGGCATACAGATGAACGCTAGGAACCCATTCCACGTGGAGGGAAATTTTTCTTATTAGCTATTATTTTGAAACACAATTTAGTAATATCCAACTGAAAGTTTCTAGGTATCTTAAGAATAAAGATCTATAAGAAAGGAAAATTGTTTACCAATTCCTTTGAGTCATAATTTTATATGTAAATTAAATTATCAAACTGAATAGCATATATCAAAGAATAGTCACCCAGGAGAAAGGGAATATGTTTGAGTCTTCTGGAATATATGCTATTACCAAAGGAGACAGAGTTTCACAGCAAAGCAAAGTTTCTATTCCTTTGAGACAGTAAAAACTATATATGTATTTCAAGTTAAACCGAGAGATGAGAATCATTATTCACAGAGCATTGTCAAACACTCAGTAGGAATTCAATGATATAATTGACAGTGATGATGGTATGACAGTCTTGTGTGTTCTTCCCCTCAGTCCTTGACATTGCAGCTTTCATTGTGCTGCCTACCAGGAACAAAGTAAACTACAAAGTCAGTCAATATAAACTGAAATTTCAAGAGGGGAAAAAAGATGCCAGATTTCAAAACAGTAATTCTTCCTTTCTTTTGGATTCCTTCTTTATTCAGAACCACTTTCTGTGACAGCTTTTCTCTTTATTATTCCTTCACAGAAATCACCCCTGATTGCAATGAGTTCCATCTCCAATTTCTGTGACAGCAACTGAGAATTATGGCACAAGCATTTACCCTCTTGTTCACATCAAACTGTTTCTTCTGTTCTTGGAATTATTCAGAAGACATGAACTCTGAGCAATGCAGGCTTAAAGGACGCAGGCAATTTCCAGTGATGTCAATGGTAGTGACCTCTTGTTCGTGAAATGAACGCTTGACCCTTTACATTCTAGGACCACTTTCAACACTGTTTTGAAGGAGAACAAAGCAATGACTCATGACTCATAGGGTAAAGGAATTTCAAAACTCCTATACATACTGAGATTTTATTCCAGTGTTATTACATAATGTCAGGCAGGCAAATAGATACAAAATTGTAATTAGTTTTAAAGCATGCATCTCTTTAATTACTGAAATTCATAGTTTGTGCTACCTAATGAGAAAAAAATCTATCGGTTCTGTTAATATTCTTTTATTCAGCACAATTCAATTGTGTTTGATAAAGTTCAATAGGGAAAGCTTTACTATTTTTAACTTGGTAAAAATAACAGGAGTTTAAGTAACAGTTGGCTACACATCTCCTGCTCACAGAGGCTTCATCTGGCCTCAGATGGACATACAGCTGAATTGGCACTGGATTTTACACTGACTCTATCACGCTATAAGTATGTGTCAGAGATGTCTCTTAAGAAAGCAGAGCAATAATACAGAGACCTGGAAACATGGTTTCTGTCTTGTGAATTTGTTCATATGGGATTCATAAAGAAAAAATGAAAAAATTTCATTTCCAATTCAGCTTTCCAAGCAGAGTAATTTTTGTTTGTTTGTTTGTTTTTTCAAGACAGGATTTCTCTGTGTAGCTTTGGAATCTGTCCTGGGCCAGGCTGGTCTTGAACTCACAGAGATCTGCCTGCCTCTGCCTCCCAAGTTCTGGAATTAAAGGCATGTGCCACCACCGCCTGACTTAGCCACCACCACCCAGCGTTCTCCAGGTCTTATTGATGATGGTTCTTATGTTTTATAGATGATAATAATAATACAAATAATACCTGTACATTCATGATGAGAAGTTTGAAATGTTTATATTTTGATATATTTGATATACATTTTGATGTTGACACATAGATAAATACTTCATGTTTATAAATATCTTGTGATATTTATATTATAATATATTTCAAGAAGACAAACTTTATGTCTTCATTTTATAGAAAACTTCAGCTGTTAGCAACAGGAGACGCAACTGAAATTTCAATATATAATTATTTACTGATGCAGGATGTTGTGATCTTGGCCTTTCAATACTTATGAATAAAATTTTCTTTATTTCTTTCTTTATTTATTTTATTGGTTTTATGAGGCAGGATTTCTCTGTATTGTTTTGGAGGCTGTCGGTCCAGCCCGGCCTCGAACTCACAGAGATCCACCTGCCTCTGCCTCCCGAGTGCTGGGATTAAAGGCGTGTGCCACCACTGCCTGGCATGAATAATAATTTCTATGGCTTATATTTGTCACACAAGTATATGAGCTGCAAATTTATTCTCTAAGTAACAGTGTTGGGAAATAAGGCCTTGCAAGAGATGATTAGAACTTGAGGGCTCTGTAAATGGAATAGTTTGAAATGAGTTTGCTATACTTCAGTGCCTCCTACCCTCTCTGTTTCATCCCCACCCTTTGTCTCCTAACATTCATGTGTTTGAGTAACAAGTAAGGCCCAAGCTAATATGACCCTTCAATTATGTGTTTGTTAAGTTCATCAATATGAAGAACCACCAAGTTATTTTCTTGATAATTTACCCACTCAGTGCTACTGTTTTATCCATAGAAATTAGGCTGAGACAACCATCATCACCCAAAATGAGTAAGTATAGCCTTTTAAATGTTAGTTTGTTTTACTTTTCTGATATATTGTTTCAGAAGTCTAGGTGACCAACACCGCTTGCCAGTACAGTGGATTGTACAGTTATAATTATCTCTACTTATTTAAATTGGAAATAAAACCCAGAATGTTAGCTTTAACTGGATACAAGAAGTTTTTCTAAGACTTATTTATCCGTCTGTCTGTCTGTCTGTCTGTCTGTCCAATATATCAACATACATGTACACACAAACACTCACATGCATATATTCACGAGTATAGTGTTCATTAAAAATTTCAACGTAGGTACTATTACAAACTGACTTAGTTAAGGTTTATATTACTGTGAAGAGACACCATTACGATAGTAACTCTTATAAAAGAAAGTATTTAATGGGGTTGGTTTACAATTTCAGAAGTTTAGTCCATTATTGTCATGGTAGGAGGCATGGTGCTGGAGAATTGCTCAGAATTCTACATCTTGATCTGCAGGCAACCTAAGGAGATTGTGTGCTTGAGCATATAAGACCACAAAGCCCACCTTTACAATGACACTTCCTCCAACAAGGCCACACCTCTTAATAGTGTCACTCTGTGTGGGTCAAGCATTCAAACACACTGGTCTATGGGGGCCACTTCTATTCAAACCATCATATAATGAAGAAAATATCTCAATGTGTTAATCACCATAAATATGTTATATCTAGAGTTGAAAGAAATAGCTTTCCTTGGTTTCTGACAGCAAATATTTTCAGAATTTAAAGATGAAAATCAATATGTAATGAGAGAATGTAACTTACTTTTATTCATAATTTAAAAAAGGAGATTTTTTCAAAATTTATGTGCCATGATAATTTTGTTAAATTAATTATAAAAACACTGGGTAAAATGGATGACTATAGTATTAGATTATTGAAACACTCTCTTTCTCCTTTTTCCCCATGTTTTATTTTTCCTTTCTTTTTTATTTTATTTAAGTTAGAAACAAGCTTGTTTCCCATGTCAATCCCAGGTCCCTCCTCCCCTATCCTCCCCACAAGACCCTCCAGCCCCCCACCCAAACTCTACTCTGATCCCCAGGTAGGGTAAGGCCCTCCATGGTGGATCTCCAGAGTCTGTCAATTAATTCAGGCAGGGCCGAGGCCATATCACATGAGACCAGGCTGAGATAGCATCCCTCATTGTGGGATGGGAACTCAAAGTCTATTTTTATGCCAGAGATAAATACTACCCAAGGTCTCATAGATTACCTATGTCTCCTCACTGACACCCACATTCAGGGGATCTGGGTCAGTCCCATGCTTTCCACACAGCCATCAATCTGGACGGTTTCTTCTAGTGCCATGAATTTGCCTGCAAATTTCAAGATTCCATTTTTTTCTGCTGAATAGTACTCCATTGTGGATAACTAAAAATACTCATTATGTAGGTGATTTAATCTATACATTTTTCAGATCTTCATCTTCATTATTCTCCTTATGTAAAATCAAAGAATATGCTTAATTCACTCTACAATCTTCAGTTTTTCAAGTAACCATTTGTTTGAATTTGGTTTTGCACTTAGGATTATATTTATACACCTAATTCTTTTAATGTGTTGTATGGATTTTATTAATTTAAATGTGGCATATGACATATTATATAGCACTATATCTATATATTGTTTAACATTATTATTTTGAGATTTATTTACAGTAGTTATTATATTCCAGTTTGTTAAGTGCATTCCTGTATATACGAAACACTAATTTGATTAAATAATGTTATCACTTTCTGTTCTGAAGAAACCTAAATTTTCCTCAGTAAAAATTATACATTTTGCTCTTATTAAGAACATTAATCATTATATTCTTCTTGGTAAGCTATATTATATTGTTCATGGAATATAGGAAAATGATTTAAGACAGAAAAGAATAAATATTTGACAAAATGCCATAAAAATACTAAACCATAAGTGCTACAGGATTTTAAATTCTGACATTCAAGAGGCAAAGGCATGAGGATGAGTAGTTGAAAGTCATCTGCAGACACACAGTATGTGTGAGTACAACCTGTAATACTTGAGATCCTGTCCAACAAAAAAAAAAACATAAAGGAAAGAAAATAAAGTGAGAGAAAGAAAGAAAAAAAGAAAGAGAAAAGAAAATCCATATCCTCCTATGTGATATTAAGTGCAACATTGAGTGCAAAAATATATATTCAATGATTAAATTCCATTTTAATTATGTGTTTATTTAAATTAGTAACATACATACTTCAAATGTCAATCCCAGCTCTCCCCTTCTCACTCCACCATCCCCACCCCCACACCCCATCCCCAGCCCAATCCCCACATCATTCCCCAGGGAGGTTGAGACCCTCCTTGGGGGGATCTCCAGAGTCTGTCATTTCATCCAGGGCAGGAACTAGGCTCTTCCCTATGTGTCCAGGCTGAGAGAGCATCCCTCCATGTGTAATAGGCTCCCAAAGTTCATTTGTATGCCATGGTGAACACTAGTCTACCACCCAAGGCTCCAGAGATTTCTGAGGCCTCCTCACTGACACTACATTCATGGAGGCTGGATCAGTCCCCTGTTGGCCTCTTAGTCATCAGTCTGGGGTTCAAGAGCTCCCCCTTGTCCAGTCAGCTATCTTTGTGAGTTTCACCAGCACGGTCTTGACCACCTTGCTCATTACTCCTCCATCTCTGCCACTGGGTTCCCAGGGGGTCAGTTCAGTGTTTAGCTGTGAGTATCTGTCTCTGCTTCCATCAGCCATTGGATGAAGGTTCTAGGATGTCATATAAGGAAGTCATCAACCTTATCATTAGGTAGGGGCTATTAATGTAATCTCTCCACTATTACATTGTTTTCCAGTTGGTGTTTTCCTTGTACATCTCTGGAAATCTCACTAGTTTCAGCTCTCTCCTCAAAGCTATAATGACTCCAACTATTATGGTATCTCTCATCCTGGAGAGACGCTTCAGAGGTTTAGAGCCCTGACTGCCCTTCTAGAGGCCCTGAGTTCAATTCCCAGCAACTAATATACAAATTTTAAGATATTAAAAACTTTGGTTGCAGTGATATTATGTCAGTCAACAATTCAAAGACTCCAGTATTCCTGAAATAAAACTTAGAGTCACATGTGGAGATTCTAAACCATGCAAGTTCTCATACTCTTCCCTCCCATTATTACTGTTAACCATTATTACACAAAGCACCAACTTTTTATACATAGACACAGACAGGTATTCTTTTTTTTTCATTTGAATTTTACATTAACACCATTCAATTTTCACATACCTTGAAGAATAAAACTTTCTAGTAGTGTCCAATATGAAGATGACACTATGTATACAAAAATGTTAATAAAACTGCATAAATTATCACGAAGCACATATAGTACTTGGAAAATTCCAAAGAACTTTAATTTGGCTGAAGCATGAGAAAAATTTACATGTTTCTCACAGTGAGACGCCTGTGAGAGATGAGGCCCATAGGTGAGTTGAGGCTTCACTAACCAGTTCATGTATTTCCTGTTAATCCAGATTATTTCTTTTAAGTGTATTAACTATTTCTATTAGTCACTGCTGGTTCAATCTTTTACTTAGCATGTGAATAGACTATTTTTATACAAATAGTGTCATGGTAAATAACAGTCTTATACTGTTTATACTTATGAAATTATAAATACATTTAATAAAGACAAAATGTCATAAATTAGTGTGTTTTAAAGTATGTATTAAGATCACAAAGATTTATTCCACTTATTTTCATAGTGATTGAAACTTCAATGTTGTAACATTGTGCATGTGGTTAAATTAACATACACAAAGCTCATATAGGAAAATAAAACCTTGATAAAACAATGTTGTTCATTAATATCCTTAAACTTTCATTTCCCCAAAGAATAAAGTAAAAAAAGTAACATACATTAAAATAATTAACTGTTCTATATTTTTTGTTTCATTATGCCGAACATAAGCTATTATTTCAACATTACTGTGGCTTTTTTAGATTCTTGTTAGGTGAAGAATTACTCCTTTAGACAATGCTTTATCTGGTCATGAAGTAAGGCATGTCTGCTGAAGAATGAATAATAACTATTAATGGATTACTTTTTCACAGTTAAAATGCTTTTAGTAAAGACATTGTTTAAGAATGATTGAAAAAGGCCAGATCCCAGGTCTTCTCTGCCAACAAGGAGACCAGGGACCAGCTGTAAAAAAAAGTCCCTGCATCCAAGCCTGCCTTCCAGTGCCTGGGGATTGCCTGGGAACTGCACAGAGCTTCCAATGCCAGTGGGATCTAAGCACCCCAGATTCCAGGTCTTCTCTTCCAACAACGAGACCAGGAAAGCAGTAGACCCAGAAGAAGAGATGGGAAAGAGACAATACAAAAACACACTCAGGAACAGAAAAACAAATATGACACCTCCAGATTCTAGAGACTCCATACCAGCAAGACTCCAACATTCCAATGCAAATGAAGCAG